GCATTGTTGTCCAAATCAAATTCTGGAAGTGGCCATTCAACTAGATCTGTTACAAAAAGGACAACTGATATTATCAACTTTTAAAAACTTACGGCCAGGGGTCTTTCTTCTATGTTTATACTAAAGCATGGAATGACATTCCTCAAAACATAAAGTCCATTTCAAAACTACAGCCCTTTAAGAAGAATCTTGTCTGCCATCTGCTGGACAATTTTTGTTGTGCTCATATTTAGACGTCCTATTTTGCAGATGCTGCCTTCCTGAAATTTGGTATGCTTGTTTGTCTTTGTGTCTATGGTGTATAATGATGTGATTGTGATGCTGTATTTCTGAGTGTTTATGTGCTGCAGAACAAGAACTTGCTGTAAAACAGCAATTATTCTGAGTCAGGCTTGATTTTTAATAATCTTTTCCTGTTAAATAAATAAATCAAATCAAATCAAATCAAGTCCCGGTCCAGTTCAGACAGGAAGAACTGCGTTCCAATACTAAAAACTAAATCACCTTGTTAATTAAAAATTAAAACAAAAGACATGTTCTGTAATTAATGAATGCACATCACCTGATTTGGACTAAAATCATCTGAGTTTTCATTTTGGTCAAACCTTGAAGTTATGCATGATCTCATGCAGCACAGTCAGATAATGACTGTCAGCTACTACCACATCAAGCTCAGCTCAAAATCTGTCAAATCTGAGTTGTTGCCTTTTCAGTTTCGTAAGGTCAATTATTCATAAAATCTGTCCTCTGGTTCATGAAATATTTTGCTAACAGATGAAGTTGACTTTAACAGTTAATGCTGAAGCTTTAAAAACAGGCTAAGTCACAGTGCTGCGAGTAATGGTTGAGGAGCATGGTGCTCAGCTATAACCACACCAAAGTTTAGCTGTAAACGTGTAAAATTAATTAAGTCATAGCCTTTGTTGTGTTTGCTAGCTGTGGTGGCCATTTTGAATCCATTTACTCAAAACATTTATCAGATGTTGACAGTTATTTTCTCAGTTTCATTAAAATCCATCCAGGGGTTCATGGTATATTTTTGTTTTACAAGAAAACATCATTGCTTTACCTTGAGCTGTGGGTGAAGCTGTTTCAGTGTCCTGACAGTCAGGACTTACCTGCAGGGACAGAGGTCAGCAGAGAGGACAGTCTCTTTAAATCCCAACGGTCAGCCTTGTCTCTCCTGTTGTTTTCTCGCCTCAGACTCTCGAAGCATGTTGGTGTTCAGTCCGAAGCCAACACACTGACACACCACACCCCTGTGTCACAGCTGGAGCTCCACCTCAGCCAATAATACCCGTTTTACCTGTCCCGCCAGCACCTAAAGACCGAGCTGTCAACTTACTGAGGTGACTCATAGGCGAGTTGGGACACTTCTGTCAGCGCGCACACATGCCCTCCTTTTCTACAACACACTCACAATTTAAAAAGTCTGCTTCCTCTGAGGGAAACTTCAGAGCTTTACCAGCTGAATCATGAGTTATTATTATAAGTTTATCAGTATTACATAATAAGTCAAACAGAAAATCAGAAAATTCAGATAAAAACTGACAATAAGGGTCTGGCGGACAATAAATAACAAAACAGATTTTTTGGATTTTCAGTTTGGATGAGAAAGACTGAAGGACAAAGACTCAAAAGATTTATAACTGATAATTTAGCAATAAATAATTCTAACTGATAAATAGCCGCTACTCCCCCACCTGTTGTTCTATGTATATGAAAGTTTAAATAATTAGCAGGAGTGGATTAATTTATACTAACAAAATCCTCCTGTTGTAACCAGGTTTCAGTACGACAGAATAAATCAATATGATGATCAGTTAACAGATCAACTAACAGAGACTTAGAGAAAAGAGATCTGATGTTCAATAATCCACACATAATCGTTTCATTGTTCTGATAAAGTTTTTGTTGTTGTTTATTTAATTTGGTCCGTGGGTGGGCTGACACAGTTTGGGGATTTGGTGGGTAACAGAGGATAAATAGCAGTTACTCAACAGCAGAGAGGCGTGTAACGCCCCTTTTCCATGGTGTAGGGTCGGTGTAGGTACGGGTCGGACCGGTTGGTTTTCCACTGATGTTCCAGTCCGGTTCCAATGGGTGTGTTTTGGGCGGTTGGAGGAGGTGGTTTTTAGGTTTTTTGAAAAAAGGTTAATGGGCAAAATTACAGATGGAAACACATTTGATGAATAACCTTTGAAATTTTAAAAATTTGCAAAGACTTAGCCAATCAGTGATGAACAGTGCTCTGACGTTGCATTTTGGTGTCAGCTGGGGCTGCTTGGAACCACAATGAAGTATAGGTACTTAAAAAAGTGCCAGTTCCATGGATCTGGTCTAATGGAAATGGCTTGGAACCGTACCGACACTACACTAAGTGGCTCTAGTTAATTTTGGTGCTCCAGCCAAGGTGGGATCTCTCTGTATCAAACCAGAAATCTGCAGAGTCCATGTTGTGATTCTGCATCTGCAGGAACGGAGCTAGGCTTTTTTGCAAGGGGTGGCCAAGGTGGTTTTTAGGAGGGTCACATAAAAATAAAAAAGCACTCTGGATTTTAAAATTCAAGATGGCTACCACAGCCAATTTTGAGAAATGTTGAGCTGAAGTTTTGTGTGATCAAAGCTAATAATGATCTAAAAAAAACATGATGAATGCTAATCACAACTTATTATTCAGACATTTTTAGACACACAAACTTGAAAATTAGTTAAAGGGATCCCCGATTACTTGTAACATTAGACTTTATTTAATAAACATATATTTTAACTGTAAAATAAAGACTGTAAAAATACTGTAGGATGTTTAGTTTTTATAATTTTTAAACAAAACGTTAAAAAAATATTACACGGACGGGGCCATTTTATTTACACACAAAGCATTCTGGGTAAATGATGACATGGATAGGTCCTCGGTGTGAGCGAGCTATATCCACCCTGAAGGTTAATCTTGAACAACATCTGACGATCGACTCTTTTAAATGAAACCAGAGAGCGTTGACAGAGAGGAGAAGGTAGAAATGACTCAGCCTGGAACTGAAAATATAGATGGAGGACAACAGTTTAGTTTGTTAGTTTGTCGCGCTAGCACCGAACTAATACATATAAGGTAATATAGTGTCGGAGCTAGCGCAAAGGCTAACAGGCTAAGCTGAGGTTCTTCTTCCATGAAGCAGCTCTGTTGTCCTCCATCTATATTTTCAGTTCCAGGCTGAGTCATTTCTACCTTCTCCTCTCTGTCAACGCTCTCTGGTTTCATTTAAAAGAGTCGATCATCAGATATTGTCCAAGATTAACCTTCAGGGTGGATATAGCTCGCTCACACCGAGGACCTATGCACATCATCATTTACCCAGAATGCTTTGTGTGTAAATAAAATGGCTCCGTCCGTGTTAAAATATATTTTCAAAAATTTACTAAACTAAACAGCCTGCAGTATTTTTACAGTCTTTATTTTACAGTTAAAATATATGTTTATCAAATAAAGTTTAATGTTACAACTAATCGAGGATCCCTTTAAAGCAATGGTCCCCAAACTACGGCCCGCGGGCCAGATCCAGCCCACCTCCCCATTTGGTCTGGCCCCCAGAACAATAGCAGAGAGCATTTAGTTTTTTTTTCATATATATGTATTTATATTTGATTATAAAGTTGGACTTTTGCAATAAAATGTTCCTTAGTTATGAACTATTTTCATTATTAACTATTATTAGTTAGTAACTATTTCATACATACACACATATAACATTCTGTTCCACCCTTCTGCGGTCTGTGCCCCTATCTGGCAACCCCCAGAAAAAAATCCAAAACCCGCCCCTCTCAAAGAGAGAACAGAATAATGGTGAAAAGATTAGGTAAGAGAAAAACTGATTCAGAATGCAGGGCGTTTAAGCTGCAGTGGACAAACGATTATTTTTTGTTCATCTGTCAAGAGGTGGTGGCGGTATTCAAAGAATACAATCTGCAGCAATACTATGAATCCCGTCACAAAGACAAGTATGATAGCTTCAAGGCCAAATGTGAGCAAACAAACTCGCAAAGCTAAAAAGTGGACTGTTAGCTCAGCAGAATACATACTGTGAAGAACCCAGAGAGGGTTATTTGATTGTGCTTTCTGGAAAACAATAAATTTTTACATTTAGGCACTCCTGCAATAGTCACACTTTTTCTGTTACAAACTGCCTCCGGCCCCCCACCAGAGAAGGGAAAAGTTTTGTGGCCCTTACAGGAAAAAGTTTGGGGACCCCGCTTTAAAGTATATGAAACAATCTTTACCTTATCCTAAGAAGGGCAACCACAGCTAACATTAAAAGGCTAAAGTTCAGCCATTTTTAAACAAATTGAGATTAACTGTGATGTGGAGTAGCTAAGAACAATCACATGCCGATTGGCAATGCTAATCCCAAATTAAGCTAACTACTAACGCTAAATCAGATTTTTACAAATGACTATATCATCTTGAACTGGATTGACTCTAGAAGTCGTACTGTACTGTACTGAGGACAGCAGGACAGCCTTACCTGGTCCCTCATGCTGTCTGAGTGTCCCATGATGATGGCAGCATGGTTTGGATACTTCTGCTTCAGGTGCTCCAGGAACACCTCCCTCTTCCTCTCCATGTCAGAGTGCTGACTCTCTCTGCTGGCAGGAGTGGAGCTGTAGACGTAGCTCCGAGGTAAAGTGCTGGGAGACGAGTGTGGATCTGGAACACAGAGGGACAGCTCAGGGTTTGTGAGCTCTCATCTGCTGCTGCGTTTAAAGGAGAATTAGAGCTGGAAACATCTGGATCTGATCTCACTGATGAGACAAGAAACAAGTGAGAAAAACAGATGAGAGGAATGTAGATAAAGAGGGATGTAAGAGAAAAACCAACCCAGCGGTTTAATGGATACCGTGTTAAAATATAATTTGTGACCTGTTCCAATCATTTTATTTTATTAAACATGACCTCCTACAGCAGCAAATTCAACAAACGACCATTTTAAGTTCTTTAAAACTTTTTAAGTTTTTTGAAAATCTGTTGTGTGTAATAATTTGGAACAGTGCATTTGAAGGTTTTTTATTTTTGAAAAAAATACAGTTATCATTGGGAGGTTTTTCCCAAATTATACTCTAAATGTTGACAACTTAAAATTATGCTGGCTGTCATTTACTTGGGACTATTTAGGAACACAGAGAAAAATATAATTTGCATAATAATTTGAAGTGCAGTGTAAGGTACGACGGCGTATCAGGGCCACGTTGCAGATGAAAAAAAAAAGGAGCAAATCTCCAAGAAAAACTCAGAATTTCTGAGATTAATTTCAGACATTTTCGAGAAAAAACAGGTTGAAAAGTCGCAATTTTGCTGGAAAAAACTCAGACTTTCTGAGATTAATTTCTGAAATTTTTGAGAGAAAAAAACAGGAAAATGTCTTATTTTGAAAAGTCGCAAATTCGCAAGAAAAAAAAACTCAGAAATTTCCATAATTAAAGGCAGAAATTTGCGACATTTAAACTAGATATTTTCTGACATGGTAAAGTCAGAAATTTTAAGAAAAAAACTCATAAATTTGTGAGAAAAAACTCTGAAGTTTTCAGGAATGGCTAAAGGGCGAAGTCCGAAAATTTGACTCGAATTAAGCCAAACCTTTCTGCCAATGAAGTAAAAAAATTTTACTTGGTAAGATTCTTGAAATAAGAAAAGATTGAGTAAAATCAAGCATTTTAAGAATCTTACCAAGACAATTTTTCTTACTCCATTGGCAGAAAGTTTTCACTTAATTTGAGTCAAATTTTCAGGATAACAAGACAAATAATCTTACACATTCTGAAAACAAGGTTATTATTCTTACACGATCAGTTCTTGTTTGGTAAATCAGTCTCAAAACAAGATCAAAAAGACTTTTTGGCTGATATAAGATTTTAAAACTTGGTTAGGTGGACAGTTTTTGCAGTTTGCTCATGAATTTGCATTCAGTTTCTTTTAGCTTTAATAGTACATTAGAAAACACATTTCTGCAGAAAATGCAGTTTCTCTTGCTGCTTTCGGCATCGTATAGCCTGACTGAATGCCACACGCCCAGCCTCAGCACAGCTCTGTGTGCAGCTGCTGTAATTGATGCTTTTAGCAGAACAGTGTGACATTTTAGCATCATCTCAGACCTGCGGGGCTCGAAATGTTTCCCCCAAGACACACATACTAAAGACTGACACAGTGAACACAATAATTGTGTAATACTGCAATGAAAACAGTTCTTGCTAATTTGTTTTAGCGTACACATATGAGACACATGCCGACATTTAAATATGTCCAAAAGGTTTGTGCTCTAAAAACAAGGACACTTTGTGACTCTGTGTAGTTTTTGCACAAATGATTGCCCAGCACCAAAAAGTGCAGGTGGAACCATGGTTGTTTAACCGTGAATGTTTGTGAGTTTGTTACTAAATTATCTTATGAACCACTGGGCAGACATTTAGTGATGCCCTCAAAGTAATCAGTGGCTCATGAACAGAAATCTTAGGGGGGTGGGGGTGGGGGTCCAGGGCCCCACCACCACCCGCTTTGCAAAAGCAGACCTTCAGGCGCTCCTCTGTGTCGTCACTTCCTGTTACTGCACTGGTGAATACTTCAACAGCTGGTCATCTCAGTGCCGTGATTTCTTCGTTTTGACTTCTAACTGTGGCTTGAACTGGGACATGTCACAGTTACACTTATATGTGATGAACCTACCCCAGATAGTGCAGACCTCCACAACGATACAACACAAAGACCCTGGACTCTGGCACATTGCTTGATATTATCCTCACTGTTCAGCCTAAAGGGCTCGACACACGGGAGGCGATGTCGCTCGCTCTCCATTCATTTCCTATGGAGCCTGTGTGGTGAGGCGACAATCGCTTGCCCTCCTCCAGCTAAGCGACCGGCGAAAATAGTGCATGTGAAATTTCACGCTCGTACACGTAGACGTGCACACGCGAGCTTGCGACATGACATATGAAAGTTGAAAAATGTTCAACTTTTGTCGCTGTCGCTTAGCGTACAACCAATCAGCGAGGGTTTTATTGACTGACCAATGAGAGGAGAGTATGCTACACACTGCAGTTAGCTAACACTTTCACCAAGTGATTACTAAAAAGCTTTGTGGGAATTTATTGGCACCAGGGTGAAGTTTATGGTAAGTTTTTCCTCATAAAACTGTATCTTGATGTGCGTTTGTTTTTCAATATCATTAGCATCGCAAGATTTGTTTAGTTTACACGTCCGTAATGCACACCCCCCTTCAGAGTCAAGAACCAATCAAATTTTGTGAAGACAAGTGATCTGAGAGCGCGATTCGCAACGCTGCGATCGCTATCGCGTCCCGTGTGTCGGGTTTCACCCTGGCTGCGATGACAGCCGTTAATCGCTGTAGTTTGTCGCTGCCCGTGTGTCGAGCCCTCAAGCCTCAGTGATTGTTGTGATAGCCTCTAATAAATTTTAAACATTGTTGAAGAACTTCAGTGTACATGCTTTCAAAAAACTCTACAAAAGACACTTTGTTGAGGCCTTTTGCCCCTATAAGGACAGTTCTGGTGCTTCTATTTGTTTTCCTGTCAACTCAGCTTCAAATATCACTGCCTGCCCTGAGCCTGGTTCTGCTGGAGGTTTCTTCCTGATCAGCAGGGAGTTTTTCCTCTCCACCGTTTGCTCAGGATGGGAGACTGTGATGAAGTGATTCAACACAATCTGCTGGTTTCTTCTTTAGATTGTTCTTTTTATGTACAGTGCCCTGAGACAACGTATGTTGTGACTTGGCGCTATATAAATAAACTGAATTGAATATCCACTCATCAGTCTCAGAATTCCACCTCTTCTTAGTTCAGCCCATCCTGGAATCTGAGGTTCATGCTGAACTGTTCAGTCAGAAACTCTGAAATCCACTCATCTACATTTTAAAGTCATTTCAGATCCTTTCTCTTGTGTTTTCAGGACTGGAAGTCTGCTGCTTTCAGCCCATTTTTTCAAAACAGCTTCAGACCCATTTCCATCTTGCCCTGTCTCTCCAAATTACCAGAGAAGCTGGTCAACAAACAGCTCGAGCTCCATTTGGAGTCTCATAATGTTATTAATAGGTTTCAGCCTGGATTCAGGTCTGGAAATGGTTGCATCTCTGCTACACTTCAAGTTCTTAATGATATCACCAGTGCCAATGAAAAGAAGTATTATGTAGCTGTAAGTGTTGATTTATCAAAAGCTTTTGAATCAGTGAACCATAAGTTACTGTTTGACAGACTGAAGGAAACAAGACCCCCTGAAGGCTAACTAGCTTGGTTTATTGTTTGGAATAGAGGGTCCTCTCTCTGATCCTATCTAACAATGTCCCACAATAAAGCCTTTTGAGGCCTACTCTTTTCAATGTTTAGATCAATAACATTCTCCTTGCAGTGAGTGATTTTAGTGTATCTCAGCCCCTCCCTGACTACTGCTCTGTTTTTATTGAAGACCAACTTCATCAAGATCCAACAGGCATCGTTTCTCAAATCTGCATTTGGTTTAAAACACAGATAGTAAAACTAAATGTATGATTTTTAACAGAAATCTACCACAGGGTGAATTGTTTTCCTGGGATGGCTCTGAGCTTGGTTTAGTCAATGTAGGAAATCCTGCATTGGTTTTCTAAACTGTAATAAATCTTCTTTTGCACACGCTAGAAAACAGCCTCTAGTTAACCTGACAGAGCATCAAATCGTGGATGACGGAGAGACGCTACACAGGTCTGCTTCAAAAACACTTCTTCACAAACTGGATGTTATTTGTCACACTGATTCTGTTTATTTACAAAACTCGCTTTGACAAATCTCTGTTGTACCTACACTGACTTCTTACTGTTCACAACCTTAGTCTGTGTGGTGACCTCATCATCCTCCTCATACGCAGAGCTCATACTTCCTTCCTTCGCTCCTCGCTTCAGTTCTCTACTGCAGACAACTGGATTCATTCATCACTTTAAAGTCTAACACACTCAGTACAAGACTACTGTACTTGCTTTTAGTTTTATAATGCTTGTCAGTTTTTATTGTCCCCAATGTTCTTTTGTAAATCTGCTATAAAATGTTGATTTACATTGTTTATTTTGTGTTTTTATGTTTTTAATCATTGTCGTTTTATGTCTGCTTGTGTTGCTGCCTCCTGTTCAGGCACTCTAATGTTTCATTTTCATTTCAAATTGCAACAGTGAAAACAGGACTGTCCTCTGCAAATATGGATAAGAAAACTCAGAATAACAAAGAAGAAATAAAAAATATAAATTTTCCAAATACGATTTAGATATTTAAAAGGGAACATATCGTGTAAAATCTACTTTTTTAGCCATTAAATACATTTTGTTGTGTATTTAGGGTAGAAAAGTTGAATTTAGTCTCTCCTGGTGCTGCAGAGATAACTTTATATTCTGTGTGGGTCATATTTTTGTTCAGTTTTCTCTATTCTCTATGATGTTTTCTGAACGATTACGTCAAAATTATTTATGATGGAACTTCTAAATAAGGCCTAGACCAGTGGTTCCCAAAGTTGGGGTCGGGACCCAAAGTGGGGTCCAGAAACATCAAGGTGGGGTCCTTCAGTCCCAAATGATGGCCAGGTATCACACAAGAACCATCTGATGATGGGTAAAAGTAAAGAGCTCTCTCAAGACCTTCACAACCTTATTG